TCGTTCGATTTTCAAAAATAAGATGTCAAAGTAAAGGGCTTGGCCTGTGGATGTGCAATAAGGTTTTATTTTTTCCGAAAAGAGTTACCACCTGTTACAAATTTTAGTTCAAATTATTTAATAATCAATGCCATTTGATCCGCACCGTTCTTTCGATTTTGAGAAATAAGGTGTAAGATTAAAGGCCTTGGGCTGTAGATGTGTCATGAGGTTTTCGTTTTTCGAAAATAGTTGCCACCTTTTCAAAAAAAGTGCAAAAATGGCGCTTCATATTATTTAAAATTATTATTTATGGTAATTGTAATATTTACCACCATATGGACGTAATAGCGTAGTAATTGAAAATATTTTGAAGTGCGTTGTAACCTTTTTAAAAGTCTAAGGCCCGGTTGCTCAAAGCCTGGTTGGCACAATCTGCGGTTATCGACGTTACTGACACCGTGTTATATGCGTGGAGTCGAAAACGTTGATAGCGATGTTAACCGAAGATTATTGTCCACCAGGGTTTGAGCAACCTGCTCTCATTGTGTTAACTTATACGCAAGTTATACATGTGAAATATGGGTATCAAACGACACATTTTTAAGGAATCTTTAGTTTGAACTTGGTAATTTTTGAAGAGGGTGGCCACCATTAAAAAAATTGTATGTTAATTTTTTATTAAGTTAAATGAATTATTAAAAGATGGGTATGTTTTACCTCTTTCATTTGGTACAAAATTTGGCTGATTTGAATAAGCGGTTTGTTTATTATTACGAAAGGACTTTTGTTTCGGACTTCAACAATATTTGGCCAAGTTTAAATTTTATTGCTGGACTTAAAAAAATAAAAGTCCGAATTTTTTAATTATTATTGGACTTTTTCACAAAAAGATCGAAAAATAAAAAGAATCCAGGATTCTTGTCCAGAAGGTCCTGGGATCAAAGGAACATTGATAACTTTATTCTAGGGCAATATTTTGCCCCGGACTTTTATAACATTGAAAAAAAAAATAACTGTTATTTTCGGTCCCTGGTTTGAACATCTAAAACTACTGCACGAGAAGAAAAACGACAACAACAAAATATTAAGGATAGACGTGGAAGGGAATATACTAACTACAAAAACAAAGAAGGTAAAAATCACAGCCTTCTGCTTGTCAGCAAAAACAAGCCACAACAATTCATCTACCTATTGAGCATCGCAAATACTGCAAAACTAAGAAGACGTACCTAACAAAAGGAAAATAGGTAGTTAATAAGGAGTATAAATACGAGTAACCAACAAAAATTATCCAGAACGAACAATGACACTGAAGATGGCAAAACGCCGAAACCGGTTTATCTCCAAACCAAATTTGACAAAAGATGACGGAAATTCGTCCCAAAATACATCAGTTTTAACTTCCTGTCAGATGGAACATACAATTTTAGATTTTTTGTTTAATTCTCTGAGAGATAGAGAGAGTTAAACCTTATTCTCAATGACAATAATACGGCGAAATTAGGTGTAAAATAGGGGTTGTGCCATACAACTTGCATTCCTTACAAGTTTCATGCATTAAATGTTAAGGCTTATGGTCATATTAAATAAGGCTTATATAAGGCGAAAATGTTTTGGTGGGCTAATTTAAATTCCTACTGAAAAACAGGTCAGTAGTGTTGTGTATTAATAACAATACTTTAACTTAATAATGTAGTTACTATTTATTTACTAGCATAAGCAACCCTGAATTATCTATATTATCTTTGTAATTTAGCTTTACTTAAACTTAATCAAGAGAGTCTTTTCTTGACTACCAACGATATAACAAGTAGTTTTAACTTAGTTCAAATTTGAACTGAGTTTAACTAAACTTCGTTTAAGCTGAGTTTAAACCAGCACTGAAAAACTGACCCTTAATGTTAATTATTTTTGGGTTTATGAATCCTTTTATTTAGTAAAACTTTGTCGTATTCTACAATGTCAGCAATTTTGCAACCACTTTGTATGAGATACTCCAAAACGTGTACTTAATAAACGATACATTATACATATTTATATTGAGTGAAAAGCAATATGTGGAAACTTAAAGGAGATATCCAAAAATGGATAACGCCATTTGCAATATCTCGATTAGTTAGTATGACTGCATTAGTAACTCAATTTGTACTAAATTACCAATAAAATTTTAGTCAATATATCGGAAACTAATCGAGATATCTAAAAAATTAATTACATCAATCGAAAGATCTTATTATAAAATATATATGGGTGTTTCCATACAGTCGTACGCGACATTCGTACGCTTATAGAGTAACGTAAATCTATCAAAAATAGAAGTTACTGAAAAAAAAAGTTTACGGTTATGTTGCAACCAAAGGGTACTATGTTTGAGAAAAAAAATAAGCAGCCTCGAAACTTTGGTGTGGAAAATATCCGTTCAAAACCAGGTGATAACGTACGCGACAAAAAAGGAAGTGGTTTTAAGGCACATATACATATATGCGAAAGAATGCGAATCATGAGAGTTTTTATTTTCTTTAAAAATTCCTGAACTAAGCTAAATAATGTACCTTTACAATCCTTCCATTTTTTAATAGAAATTATCTCTGGTTAGGTTTTATTAAAAAAAATTATAATAATGTACGCGACATAACGTACGTGACAGATTTTTCCTCCATACAATATTTTTACTAGTAACACATACTAAATTAATTTTTTCAGTTCTTCTCTCCACCGTTTCGCGTTTTCAAAACCTTTTTCCGCCATCTGAATACGAAATTTAAAGTTATAAAGCCGTTTGAATTCATTTGCTTGCATTTTCGGTTTACATTTTCATGGAAACACGCATATATGCGAAAGTCTGCGAATCATGGGAGTTTTTTTTTTCTTTAAAAATTCCTAAACTAAGCTAAATAATGTACCTTTACAATCCTTTCATATTTTAAGAGAAATTATCTCTGGCTAGTTTTATATTAAAAAAAAAAAACAATAACGTACGCGACATAACGTACGCGACAATTTTTCTCGTAAGTAATAAAATGTATTTATTGAAAACTCTTCTCGCCACCGTTTCATTATTTTACAACTATTCTAAATAATTTAAATGGAAAATTTGCAATTAACATTGGTTTTAATGTATTTGATTGAAATTTTCTTACTTACAATAACGTATGCCACAAACTTTAAAGGGTAATAAATTTTTTTTTTACTTCGGTTGCAAAGAAAATTTTACTGTATATCTTTAGCTGGAAGAATTCTCGCTTAGGAATTGTAATCTGCATTACCTGCGACTGCCAATATACAAATGACATAGACAAGCAATGTTTTTGCATAACGTACGCGACATTAGAATACTATCAGAAGCAAATCAAAAAAATTACCGTTATTCGAGCTCTAACTTCTCCTTTTTCTCATTTTTATAGTTAGTTGTTATTGCAAATTTGATTTTAAGATGTAATTGTAATGTTTCAAATCTCTTAATTTAGTTAATAGGAAAGAGAAAATAGTTCATTTCATTAGAGAAAACTGAGTCGAAGAGACATTCAGTTTTACTCTTCCATTTTTGAGTCTTAAAATTCCAATAAGCTGAAATACTTCTATAACATAAAAATTCGAGTATTTTTGTCTTATTAATTCGTCTTAAAAACCCTTTTCAGTTGTTTTTTTTTTCAGTCCTGGTTGACATTTTCATGGAAACACCCATATGTAACTGTCTCTATAACTAAAAATCGCCAAAATGACGCTTACGACAATCTTTTAATCAGGCGACAATATGTACATATCCATATGTAGACTTGTGGTCAAAGGATTTACATAGTATGTACTAGAGATGGGCACGGGCCTAAATTTTCAGGCCCGGCCCGGCACGAGTGCAAAATCAACTTTCAAAAACACGCACGAGCCCGCACGTTAAGAATTTTAGTCGGGCCCGGCCCGGCACGACGGGACACACCCCAGCCCGGAAATAAAGAGCCAACTTTTATTGTATGTATACATATGTACATATTTTTAATTTTGCGTTTATGTGCATACGTATATTTACTTAGGCGAATCAATATTTTACATCAAAGATTTTTATAATATATTTTCTGGGAAGTAGAAAAAGTGGAAGGTATTTTATATACAGATATGTATGTAAACAAAACTACTAAGTATCATATATTTTCTATAGGTTTCCAAATATTTCTGTTTTTGCTTTTCTCTTATCAAACGAGTTTTAAATACGTACAATTTTTTTTTTTTGTATAAACACAAAAGCTCATCTAAATTTTTAGTATTAGCAACGGGATTTTTCGTGCCTTTTCGTACTTTTCTGAAATTTTACTGAACGCCCAGTTCGTGCTGACTGCAAATATTCCGGTCCGTACCCCTGCCAAAAGCCCGGCCCGTGCCCATCTCTAGTATGTACATATGTAGGATTTCATACATATTTGAAATAAGCAGCTGTTTGGTGAAATGAACACATACCTTGTTTATACCGACACAAAGTGCGCTTTGACCTAGTTCGCTGTGATTCAAAACGGATGCATAAACCAAATTTCAATACACCTAGAAATTCAAAAGTGTGTTGACTCGAATTTTCTTTTCAAATCGGTTTTTCATTTCTCAAATCGGTTAGAAAACACGTATAAACACATCATACAATTGACTTGAAATGAAAATAGGCTGGTTTTCTTTATAAAGTCCGTTTTGAATTATATTTATTTATTTTTTAATAAATTTGAATTATTGTTCCTTCCATTTCGCTGAGCCGTGCAAATTAATTATTAAAGAAATATCGAATAAAAACAGTAAATTTTGTTTACTTTTGAAAACTGTTTCAGCAAGTGCGTTATAAAGACACAGCTATAAACTCTTGAAAGAAGTATGTGCAAAGTCAAATCCGTGTTTTGTTAATGCGGTTCTTGCGTAGGTATAAACAAGGTAACAGATAAATATACATGTGCATATGCGTGAGTATTATGAGTATTTATGTATCATATATGTCAGAATTCGTACATATGTCCATATGTATTAAAAATATTATATGTACTTACAATCCAAAATTTCCAGTCTTGCATTGTACGATGCCGCACATATTGATCATACAATTGCCGTACATGTTCGGTCCCTTGACGTGTGACAGGAGCGCCATTAGCTGGAAGAATTGAATGCAAATGTCTGCAAGGAACAGAAAACAAAAATACTGTTATAGTGATACTAGCTAACAATTAGCATACTTTGGATTATGAATCTTTCAAGCACCTCTATTCAAAGAAGCAACGGTAGCATTTTCGTATGAAATATGCATTTAAAGCACTGATGGGCACTGCCTTGCCCGTGGGCGAAGCTCTTTTAAGCTTTCTATACATTTTGTACAGGAATGATAGAATATTCTATCATTCTTGCATTTTGTATAGAGGCGAGCACAGTAAAAGCTCTCGCTGCGCTACGTTGATTTAACCGAATACAGAATTTTGTATCTATACGTAATATATGTACATATATTAAACTGCATCACTCCCCATACAAAAAAAATCGGTACTCTTCCATTGGAATTATAAAATTTAAGTCTTGCACCAATATATTTCGGAAAAATGTTAAGATTTACGTGAGCTGGACCGATTTGAAAATACCTAAAAAAATAGAGTTTTTATGAATAAAAATAGTTTTTTAAGTATTTTTTTAAAAAGCACCTCAGATGACAAAACAGTTTAAGCTTAAAAAATTTGTTTAAAAACTTTTAAAAAATTGTTTCAACGTAATCATAATAATAAGATATTTGATGGTATTTTTCAGGGTGCGGGGAATGATCAAAATACGATATTTCTCAAAACAAATGGCGGCCGAAAATTGAGTGCTTCCAATTTTTCGCGATTGATAAAGTTGCGCTCCGAACAAAAGTATTTGCAATCTCTCACGAGCAATATCAATGTTGGTAAAGATTACGAAAGATAAGATTTCGCTGCAACCGTCGTTCGTTCGATCCTTCGCGATCGTTCGTTGGCTGCGAGCGTTTTTTGTGAAACTCAACTAGTTACTCGTATTGTCAAGATTGAGTTTTTCAACGATCGAGAGCATTCGTCTGGAGGATAAATTATTTATGTATGTATGGAAGTTTGTATGTTTGTAGAATATTAATCACTTTGTGTGAAAAAATGCCTGTATGTGTGTATGTATTTCATTTCATACGCTGACAAAAAATAGAAAGTGCGAAAATCGGCAGATTTTACAACAAACATATGACACCGTTATGGCGTCATTCCGCACAAATGCACAGCAAAGCCACAAACCAAACGCAAATTTTTGGCTCTCACGTTTTCGCATCAAAGAATGAACTGCCTATTCTATTGTCTTGCTAGTATAATAGACTGAAGTTCATTTCTTGAAGGAAACTTAAGTATACAAATTTGTACAATACTAGCCAATTTGTAGAAGATTAACCACTTTGTGTGAAAAAATCCCTTCATTATGTCTATGAAGTTGGCATATGGTATGACGCAAAAAGACAAAAAAAAAAAGCTGTTCTCAGTAGGCTTTCAATAGTTCTAGAGTTCTTGAAAAGGGAACAAAAGTTCTGGATATTTTAGCCGTGTTTTTTACACACATATACATCTACGCTTAACGTGTAAAAAAACAATTATCGCCAATTTCCATTTCAAAACAAGTAATTTGGATTTTATCGACAACTATTCACAAGCACACATAAAGTTTGTCGCTTACAGCTCTATACAATTTTTAAGCGCAGATACGTATGTATGCGTGTAAAAAAACACGCCTTTTGACAAACAAAAAATTGCTTTAAAATCTCTGTATGCCAGATTCACGGAGCATACGACATGTGGCAAAAAGGCAAATAAAAAATTGTTCTGAGCAGCTTTTCAATAGTTCTAGAGCTCCTGAAAAGGAAACAAAAAGCTCTGCACAATTACGCTGAAAATTTTTTTTTTTGAAAAAGTTGAAAAAGAACAATTTAAAAAAAAATTAAATTTAAAACTATTCTGAGTAGCTTTTCAAAAGTTCTAGAGTTCCTGAAAAGGAAAAAGAAACTTCTGCAAAACTACGCCGAAAAAAAGTTTTTTTTTTTTCAAAAAAGTCGAAAAAGTTGAATGTTTGAAAAAATAAAAATAAAAATTGTTCTGAGTAGCTTTTCAATAGTTCTAGAGTACCTGAAAAGGAAAAAGAAAGTTCTGCAAAATTACACGGAAAAAAATCGAAAAAGTCGAAAAAGTAAAACTTTTGAAAAAAAAATAAAATTTAAAACTGGTCTGAGTAGCTTTTCAAAAGTTCTAGAGTTCCTGAGAAGGAAAAAGAAAGTTCTGTACAATTACGCCGAAAAAA